TACAGACCTCACTGCTGATTTTGGAATGTGATTTGCATTCTGCTCCTCTTCTCTTTTGCAACTTCACATCTCCCCTGGACCAGCTGCAGTGTTCTGAGGTGTGAAGGACAAACCAGAGGAGAATACAGATGTGTGGCTCATCACTAAGGCTTTCCACCTGTACATTTCTCCCCTCCCTAAATACAGCAGGGGGCAAAAACTTCATCTCTGCTTCCTGAAGTTCTGCTTTCCCAGCAAATGCTTACATCTCTTTCACTTCCACATGGAGTCAAATTTGTACAAATAAAGCCTCTCCCTAGTCATTAATGCTCTTCTGTTGGCAGAGGTAAAACAAGATGCTAGCTCTGAGAGGGGAAACTTCAGCAGTGCGCTCACTGCAGCTGGGTCAGTAGCAGGATTTTAGCAGGATTTTCTTTTTTTTTGCATGAAGATACCCTGGGGGCTTTGCTGCCCCACTGCCTGTGCTGCAAAACCTGCGGCAGGACGTCTTCACAAGAACTCAAGAGCAACCTCATGGAAATAATTCCTGCAGGTGCTCCTTCAATTGCAACTCAATTGAGAGCCTGCAGTTCACAGAAGCGACTATTTTAATTTTAGGCTCCCCTGCTAAACCATGCAAATACTTCCCTGTTTCCACTCCCCTAAGAAATCCCACCACTCAGCATTCTTACTCAGCCAATACAATTGTGCTCAGAAAGTTTTATCCTCATAGGTTAGGTGTGTTGTTTTGTTGTTGTTGTTTTTTTTGGTTTTTTTTTTGGGTGTTGTTCTTTTTTGGTTCTGTTTAAGCTCATTTTCCCTTGGTTAGCTGGGATGGGTCAGCTCTTTCTGAGGCCAGCCTGCCTGCAGCAATAGATAGCAGACAAGAGGCGTCTGCATCAATTTCTGCTCTGCTACACAGCAAGGGGGGAACAAGCAAGGAAAATAACCTGCTGGAGCCTGGAGTCCAGAAGTTTTTCCTCCAGCTCACCATAGGCTCTGGGGCCTTTCAATCTGCAGCAAGTGCAGAGGAGTCAGTGAAAAAGCCTGGCAGCAAGGCAAGCAGAATTGAGCAAGGAAATCTTCCCCTAGTAAGCTGCTGAAATACTTCCTTGTCTCTGCTCAAGAGGTGTTGTTTTTCCAGAAAGCTTACACGAAGTAAAAGATATTTTCAGAGCGCTTACCTTCCTTGTTCTTTGGGTACTGCTTCCAATCAGACCTCGGTGATGCGGCATCCTGGTTAGTTAACCTACGCTCCAACGCTTCCGCAATGAACTCATCCACGTACTACTGAATCCTCACTGTGTTTATCTTAGGGTACACATCCTACGTTTTTGGGGACAGGATGCTTTACGGTTCTCTCCCATTTAGCAATGAGAACTGCTGAACACCCTAACCTAGAGGAAAATTGCAACAAGGTACTTTAAAATAAAAAGTTACCAAGTTTTCTCCTATGCTTTCCACGCAGAACAAAGCTTGGAGCCCTCTGGGCCCCACAATTTGCAGCCCCTGTGGCTCCTTCCACCTGTCCCGATCTTCACCTGGACCCTGAAGCCAGGCTACAAACCTACACTCCCCTAGCACAGAACCCACGTTAACTAAAACCTGAGACATAATGCAATAACCAGTGGCCAAGTTAGTTTTCCTATCTTGTTCCCTGAAATTTGGAACAATTAAAGTTGGAGCCCTACAGAGTAAGCCAATGTTATTTTCATTACTACAGGTTTAGGGCACTAGCTGAAAAAATCGTGCTTCATTTTCACTGAGCACGTTGCTTCTTTTTCACAGAGCTGTACCCAGACTCACCCACTTCCACTCATTTCTTCAACCACCAAATTCATTTATTCAAACATCAGGTTTAAATAAGATCACAAGAGCTGTGATTTTTCAGGCCAATCAGACTGCACTTCAAGCTTTGAAGCTAGGAAGACTAGAAAAAAAAAATCCCAAATGAAAAAAAAAAAAAAATCAGTTTTTGCACATAATCTTACCACTGCTGAACGCTGGAAGCTTCTCACAGATAGAAGTTGGAGATGATAGCACCACAAAATGGTATCGGTCACCTAAGATGGTGCAATGGACACAGTGCACATTGCGCTACAGCAAATTAATTAATTCAACAAATATTAGGAATTAGAAGTTGACCGTTATTACGGTACAGCATTGCAGCGCTGATGACTTTTTGTATCTAACTGTATACATGTGTTTTTTGTATACTATTGTTGTGCTGTAGAGGAGTAATGTATTTACCTGTTAAACCACTGGGACAAAAATAGGTTTAAACCATCACAGGATACCACTACCATTGGATCTAGGCCAGCTGCCTGTAGCAGATGAGCTGACAACAGCTCAACCCAGTACACAGATGATTTTTGACCAAAATAAGCCTAGCTTACCACTGCTGTGTTTGACACGTGTTTTGTAATGATTAACATTTGCCACATTTAGTCAGCTAAGGAAGACAGATTAAAATGAAGTTTCATCATTGCTGGGTTATTGTATCCTGTATAGCAAACCCAGGTCCTCCAAAGTACTTCAGGGAGCATTTACAGTAATGTTTGTTTCTAGACATGTAATTTAGAAAGGCTGAAGTTGTTTTACACAGCCTGCTATTTTATTTTATTTTTCTCCACAGTTGACACTTTCACTGGGGTGACCGCATTTTACAAAAAAGACAAAATGTTGGCTTAAAAAAGCGTGCACTTCTCACTAACCTTGAACTCTGCAGAAAGAGTCTGAATACCAGATAAGATGTGCAACAGCTAGTCTATTGGACAACAGCTAGTGTGGACAACAGCTGATTACTTCTAGATTAAGAATTATAGCTTAGATTCTAGCCTTAACTACATCAGTGTCCACACTAAGTTTTAATGTCTGAATATTTGACAAAACCGACATAATGAACACAGTGAGAACAAACTGAAATGAAGACAGACACAAGTATTTTTTAATATAAAAATGGTCTTTATTTCTTCAATACAAGGTAAACTACTATTGCAGTTTAAGACCAACACAAAAGTTGGACAGCAAATTGCTTAACAGTCTCCTAAAGGCTGAAAAAAAGAAACCCATGAAAGCTAGAAGTTATGTGGTATTTCAAGTATAACATCTAAAAACGATGAAATGATCCCTAAACTTATAGATAACTAAGTACCTCTCTGCTGAAGATGTATTAAAATCCACATTTGCTAGGATACCATCTTACCTTGTTGAGAAATACAGGTCTCCAGAAACGCAAGTGTTCAACAGACTCTTTGGCCTGCTGGTATCAGGAAAATGTTTACTGTACACATACAAAATCCTTTGGAGTTGGGCATTCTGACAGACAGCCATTTCCTTACATTTTGCATTGCAACTCTGCATTCCAACTCTTACATGCTCCCATGCTGTATTTCAAAGACATTTCTTGAATAGTTTTTTTTTCATACATCCTTGTGCAAAATGGGAATCAGGAAATGGAATGACACAGGAAGACAATACAGCCTTACGGTTAGAAAGTCAGCAGTGCTGGTAATCTTCATAAAAATGTTAAGGTTTACCAAATAGGAATGTATTTTACCTGTAAAACACCTGGCTTTTTTTTTTTTTTTTTAATATATATATATATATATAAAAAGGACAGCTGCACTAATAAGGAAACTGAATTTGCAATCGCTTGTATTTATAAAAGCACACACATTCCTCGTTTTCTTACATTTGAAGATCAAGGGAATGTTTCTTTCATAATGTAATAATAATATGCACAGTTCAAAATATTTTCTATTACAAAATACAGTACACAAGAGGGTGAGGCCAAAGTCTATTACGTGAATATATTCCAAAGTGTTAGTTAGCATTGAATCATGTAAAATCACATTACATGGTATGAAGAGAAGGAAATTTTTACAACTGAAATGCTTAGTTTCATTGGGATTAAAGGTATACTGTTTCTTATTTTCAAGATGCTTAAATAAAACTTGTATATTTCCAAAGAAGCTTTCAAAAATTTAAGCTCAGACATAGATCATGCCAGAACCTAAACCCACTGCAATAACTGGGGCTACAGACAGCATTCAAGAGCTCACAAGTGTGTAATATACAAACAGAATGAGATGCTTTGTCATACTTTGTCCAACATGGAATAAAAACATGAGAACATCAAACTGAGGAACTTCCATGTTTCTCAGGAATTTATCCTCTAAAACTGAAATGATTTGAGAAGCACGCAGCATGTCAGATCTTAATTTCATGAGCTGGTTGTGGGGGCGGTGTGCTGGGGACACGACACAAAACCACCCCAACACCCTCACCCACCCCAAGCCTGTCTGCAACATGACTGCAAGGCAGCGTAATAAACAGCTGCAAGAGTCATTTCTGCACAAACACCGTGACTAATTAGCATGCTGCAACCCCTGCTGCAACCATTATGTTTAAGACCTATGCAATCAATTACCAAAATAATTTATATCCCAAACAAATCCATGTTGCTTACTTCCTAAGACAAAATACTTGTTTTGGAAATAATTCCTTCTTTAAGAGCATGCACATGGATCTGCACTTTGCTTCTCTAAGATCTTGAAAGGTTTCTATTTGAATGCAGAAGAAATTTATTTAGTGTCTTGGGACCTCTGAAGAGTAGCAATCAAACATGCATGTTTTTTACATTTGAGTCTACAGACAAAACTACCTTAATGAGTGTTATGCTAGTAAACTTAAGGCTGTATTTCACTTTACACAAGAACCAACAATAAGACTACGTATAAAATTCTATAAATAAAAAAAAAAAGGGCTTAGAGGTCTGTTTAACCTGTACAGAGAGAGCAAATGGATAAGACAAGGAAATCAGGAATTAAGTATTTCTATAAAGAATGTCATATATTTTTCACTAGAAACACAGATGACAAGTATATACAACATTTAAATCTGAAATTATCCACATACAACTAGGAAAACATTTACAAGGGTCTGGGTATGCAACTAAACAATCAGGTAGAAAAGTACAGTTAGAAAATCTAAGCCTCACTGGTTTCAAAGCAAAATCACTCTCTACTTAGAGGGGAAAAAACTAATCAAGCTAGCTTAAACTTAATAAGGTATCTTGCTTGTTGAACACGGAAAAACAACAGCTATCCAAGCTTTTAAGCCACACTGTAAATAAAAATGTGAAGTTCTGATACATGTTTTTCCATGATGCAGTCAGAACTCAAGTTATTGGCACAGAAAGCAAAAAGAAAGTGAGAGAAAAAGGCTGTAGTTTCCAAAGTTTTGTTCTTCTTTTGAAGAACTATTTTTGACCTGTCAAAACATATAGCCCAGTAGAACCTTTACTAAGAAAAAAAAGCCTCACCCTATTTAAAAAACAAAACAGAACAAAAAAAGTCCCAAGCCTACTGCAAAAACAACTTGTCGCTAACGTGCCACCACCCCTACTTGTTGGTTTTGTTGTTCAAGATAAAGGGCATGGCCTTAGGTTATTTTCAACATTACTTATAAAAAACAGTATTTAAAAGAAATATCAAATATTTCCTCACAGACGGATTTACCCTTCCATCAGCAAAAGGAGATGAAATACAACTGAGTGAATATCAAAGAACACAGCAGTAGCCATCGTGGCATCACCACCAGCCAGTAAATTACCGAGCTGCTATTTCCTGAGCATGCACAGGAAATTGCCAGTAACACTTAAGAAACCAAAACCTGGTACAAATTGTATTATAGATCCAGTTATACATGATGTGCATTAGACATATTCCTTTTTGGTGTCTATCAGGGTCTTTGGATTTTTTTTCTGTACATATTTATTGTTTCATTTAAAAAAATCTAACAAATGGAACTCACAATAACGAGAATATTATCTAAACTGTGACACAGTGTGTCTATCAGTTAAAACTAGGTGTTCAAAGCACAGGCAGAAATAAGGGGCTTCAAATGGGTACCTCGTCTTTCAAGCCACAACAAACACTCAGTTTCACCTGTGTTGTTTTCTCCTTGCTATTTCCTCCCTGCTATTTCCATTGCCAGCAACGGAAATCTGTATGCATGAGAAATTACACTCTGTAAAAGAGCAACAGTCTCCTTAAATCTGTTTCCGTGTGGAGTAAAGTATCAGTTCCTGCATAAAACGCTTTTCAATTAACTTTTTTATTTTAAGATTGAATATAGCTATGCAGTGGAACATTACTTACCTGCTGCCTCTCCAGCATTAGCTACTCCCCATGTAACAGCTATAGGCAGGTTTCTCCTCCCTTAAACTTATTACACACAGCAGTAAACAATGGTTTTAAGTAAAAAATAAAAATAAAAATTACAACAGTATTGTTTGTAACCAACACCTATTCACAAAAAGCAGGAAATGAGTCATGACTTGTTTGATACAACTTTCAGTTTACAAAATTTTAAAAGGCAGTTTTCAGTTTCCAACAGGATTAAACAAACATTGCAAATATCTTCTCAGTAGCAAATAGTTCAATAAACACCAGTGATCCCATGCATGAGGATTCAAGGTACACAATTTAAGGAAAAAAAAAGGGGTAGTCTGAAGCTTGTGGCCAAATCCAACAGCATCAAGCTGGCTGCAGAAAATCTGGCCAAGTGGCAAGTGACAAAAATTAGTTAGAGCGTTTCAGACTTCTGCAAAAACTTCTGCAGTTGCAAAGGCTACTGGTCCCAACTCAGTAAAGCATAAAAATCACACACAAAAAGAAACCTAAAGCATATGTTTACATTCCTTGAAATCTATGGAATGCAAGCATGTGCTCTGAATGCTCTGGAAAACCAAATGAAGTGCTTTCCTGAACAAGGTAACATATTTTAGGTCTGCTGTAAAACCTTCAAGAAAAATCAGTAAAAAAAAGAAAGGAAATCAAGAGCTGTCTAAGAGTTGCCTCTTAAAGCCATTTGAGGTCTTGAAATTTAACTTAAAACATTAAGTGCTGCTATTTGAATAAATGAAAATGCTAATAATAAAGCCATTACATAATGACTTAGAATAGATGAATAATGAGCCTTTGTGCAAGGCTGCCAGAAACCGAATTCTTACAAATTACATGAATTTTTCTGTTCACTTATGCTTCATGCAATGAAATTTAGAATAAAATCCTGTTTGTTCTCAAGTTGTTTGAAACATCCACTTGACTGGAAGTCAACTTCCACTGCAAGCTCCAGTGAATTGTTTTTAGGTAAATTTACAAAACCTCATTTGACAGACTTAATTATCGCCACTTTTTGCTAAGGTTATTTCAATATTGCCCATCACTGAACAAGGACATACAAGTGTACCTTCTCTTTCATATGCATGTGTGAATAAACCCCAAAGTATTAAGAAAATATCAAACCCATAAAGTCTGAAAAATGGAAACATCTGGTTTCTTCTGTCACATTTCTAATATACAACTATGTACAGACTGCTACGGCCTTGGGGGTGTAGGGGAAGGGGGAAAACACACACAAGCACTATTACTATAAAACTGTAAACAACTGCAGAATTTTTTATTTTTTTTTTAACTTTTATTTTTTAAAGCTAACCTTTCCACCCCTCGATATGAACAGTTTAAGTTCATATAACCAGTTTAAATTAATATAAACTGTAGTGTCAGCCAGAACCAAGGCTGTTTGAAAGCGAGCAATTTCAGTGTGCTAAAATCAGAGCCCTGGGACCACCTCTCCCCCTGTCAGACCGTGAGGAACTGCAGTTTTTACAGTTTTATATGTCAATTAGCAAATTCACAAGCCACCTAGGCAAACACTGCTAGAAAGCAAAATAGCATTAAAGGTTTTTGGAACCATCTGTCTTCGTATCAAAATTGAGTGTGTGAGAGCAACATTAGTATGTTCAACTCACTGAATGCAAGATTAGGTTGAGGCATATGCAAGAACTATTGCGATGTTTTTAAAGACAGCATCAATGTTTTCATTGTAACATTATCTTTAAATATTGCTGAACACAAGACTTTCCCTGAGGTGTAAACATCAAATAACTTGAACAGCTTTACACATCAGCCCCATTAAACAGTTTATTACAACACTACATCTACTGTAATCAAAGTGGTGCTGTGTACAGACATTATCATATGAACATTTTAACATGAACAAACTACTATAAAAACAAGCATTTACTTGACTTTTTCCAATTGCTTGCACATTATAATTGCCAAATGTATATAACCAGTAATAAAGTTGCAAAAGCTATAAGGTTTAAATCACACAGGTTTCCCTCAAATAAAACAGTTAAGCAACATAAAAAAAGTAAAAGAGCTACTGGTTACCATGTATGCAGATTTGCTTTATTCAGATCTATTCCTGTTCATTTTATCCATGAATCCTTACAGGCTCAGTTCAATCACATGAAGCAAACTGCTGGACAAGCATCTTTCCTTGAAGAACGTATCTTGTCTTGCACGCTGTTCCTCTTCCTTCAGCTGTAATGTGTCAAAATTTGTGATGTAGATTTTGCTAGTCCCCATAATACACAGAAAATTGTTGGCTTATCTATACATACACAAGTCGTGCATCTACTTCACCATAATGTAAACTAACACAAGATACCCGGAAGCAGTAGCTACTTGTTTGTGCAAGAAATTGTTTTCTAGTACAGCAGTTAAAATTGGTGTTGTTGTACAACAGGATCGAAAGAACAAAAATTCCACAGTTGGAAGTACTGAATGGTAAAGGAAGCAATAGCTACTGTTCCTGTGACTGATGGAAACATTTATATAGAACATTTCCTAAAGTATGCACTCTGCAAGAATAAACGAACAAGCACGTAAGGTAATTTTGCCACAACTAGGTTTTTACATTTTTACCTGCCCACTTACAGAAGATTTAAACTGATTTGACATTTGAATAATGCACTGATTGCATAACGAAGTGGATGGCTCACAGCTTAGTAACATTTAAAAGTGCACAGAATCTGGTACCAATACTTTAAAATTTTTAACCTAGTAGCAAGCAGGACAGGCTTCACATCTAAAAAATACACTCTTGAAGTTTTTTTTAACCAAGCAAACCCGCTCTTCAAATAATACAAAATAGATCTGCAGGTTTCCTCACCTAGTTACCCCAGGAAAAAACCCGAACCCTACTCCCTACTCTCAACTGTTTTGGCAAATAAGGAACCACACCATTCAAAGTTAATTACGGAAAGAGTTCACAAAATACTTGGGATGGTATAATTCCATACACTGAATTTCAGTTGAATTCCATTACAAACCAGTTAGCTAGCTTCATTTCAGCAATCATTCACAATTTCAACATTCGATAATTTCAAAATAATTTAAATCAAATTGTTTAAAACCCAACACATCAGCTTGTTCATTTGAAAAACAGACATTTAGAGGAGCAATTTCATGACCATACATCAGTACACAGCTGTCAAATATTCTGCTGCTTTTATAATATTCATAAAACAGTTGGGAAAACAAAGTATTCAATTTTTGTATAGTCAATTGACACATTTCTTCCTCCCTTCCCCAAGATGACCATTAACGATAACTTTAAAAAAAACAAATAACCAAGAGCTTAAGCTGTATACATTACAGTATGCAAGTGATTTAGTCCAAGGCTGAAGCAGCAAGGGGAATTTTTTATTTGCAGACTTTGTTCTCAAGTTATCCATGTATCAACCAGTAACTACTCTGGGTGAACTTTCTTCATCACAGACCCAAGTTTCCACAGGCACTTGTGTTTTTTTCCAAGGTACTTGTATTTTCTCAGTAGCTAAGTGACAAAGTGCTGCCTCCTACCACAAGCAGGCTCATGCAGAGCTGCAGGCTAAGGTAGTGCACACAGCGGAGAATTTCAGGTTTTTAGTGGAGAAACTCGGTGTTATGACAGCTGTGAGTCTGCATGTCAGAATTTGCTGCTCTCATAATACAATTGCTGTGGCAAGAATTATGGATCTTTATCACTTCTATGGCGACAGTTAACAGATCCAAAGCACCGTATATAAAATTTAAAACCCTAGCATAAGAAAGCTTCAGTTCCTGAGAATAACTCGCTAGATTTGTAAGGGCACTTCTGAAACTACAGGAACTTTAAGGAATGCTTGATAAACTGTACTTAGAATTAGTACTTGTCAATATAGGGCTCTTAGGATGGTCAGCACCACAATAAAACTTTTATTTTACTTTATTTTTAAAAACACGACCAACTAAAATCTGAAGTGGGGTAAATTTTGTTTCCAAGTACTCTGCCTGTATACCTGGGCAAAATCAGAACCTTTGCGGTTCCAAAGGGACGAAATTAATCTGTATGGATTATACCTTCATCAACAGCCCTTTTCAGTATTCTACATGCAAGTAGAATATTGAAGTAAGAAACAACTTGGAAAAAATGAATCTGTAGTTAAGCCTTCTTTTTGCAATGCTGTTTGCCAACTGCCTCGAGTTCATGAGCTATCTGTCCCAAGCACGTATGTATTAGGTTTGTACAATTTAACATCATACAGCAATCAAGTTTCTCAGCATTTCTACTAATAAAACCCAAATTGCAGACTTGTCTGTTAAATAGTTGTGGTCTAAAAACTATGTTTTTATGCCAGAACATTTCAGAAATGAAATCCCAGAACTTCAGGGATCAAACATTTTTATACTTATGCAAGATGCAACTTGAGCATTTTCACACCCCCAAACCAGACTCTTACACCAAAACCCAGTAGGTATCATATAAATATAAAGCATCTTGCAGTAACAATTGATTTTTTTCCTTTAATTCCAATCATACAAATAAGCATATGAAAGCTTTAAACAGCTTTCAGAAGTGTGAAAATTCTACAGTAATTTAAAGCTGCATGTGCATACATCTGTCAAGTTTGTAAGTGTAGTTATTTATCTGATATTTTCAGACTGAATTTCAATCCCACAAAATGTTCACATTTCAGTAAAACGCATGATACATATTTATAACCATATCCTAACAGCTCCTAAGAAGGAATATAATTGTCCTTTATTGTACTCTATACATAAAGAAAAAATATACAAAAGCAAAAAACCCACAAAAAAATCAGCTTGAAGGCCAAAATTTGTTTTAACTTTATCTAGATCCCAGACTGTCAGACACCTTCAAGTAGTGTGATGTTTTAGCCATAATACAGCGAGAAGGAATGATTTGCAAGCTTGACTCTGTATTTGTCATTCTGCACGTAAATTATCTATCAGTCTCTGTCCACCATACATGTACAAATAACCTATTCTACCACCACTAGCAACTTCTTCCATTTGTTTCGTTGTTCCCCTATTATTAGTGTACTTACCTGTCATCTTTGATTTGATGTTGATTTTAAGTTCTACACTAAGATTGAACAATTTCTTGATTCTATAAATAATTTTGTATGGCTACAGTTTGTTTCTTTATGTGGCTTTTCCTACTGTCCCAGCCTGTCTACTCACCAGAGACAACTGATGAACAGAGGGGTGTGTTCAAAAACCAGATCTTGAGTTTACAAATCAAAATGCTATGAGGTTGGCAAGTATATTTCACATTAATATATGAGGAAGACATAGAAGGTAGATCAAGTAGATCTGTCTGCCATAGGAAAATATAAAATGAATATCTTTCCCTCTCTCTTTTTGGGAAAAAGATATCAGTTCTCAAACCACAATGAGCAAAAGGAAAAAAATATTTGTTCATTCTTTGGAGAAAGCTGTATGAAACCAATGTTTTTACTTGCAAGTAAAAATTATTTGTTCTAATGTTATAATGACTTACAGATGAGTTTCTTGAGGAACTTCCATACAGCCCAGATTTGTTAATACTACTGATTTCAGAAAAAGAAAAAAGCAGGCTGTAGGGAATCGAAAAACTTAAGTGTGTCTTAAGATACCTCATAAGACAACAAAATTACAGCAATGTTCATGGAGGAAAAAAAATCGTAAGAACATAGGCTTTTCAGTTCACTTGCTTTTTCAAACCATCTTATCACCCTTGAGGAAATGAGAGAAGATACTGAACATTAACAAACAACAGATATGCTTCTGTAAAGCACTGCAACAGCCATAAAACAGAGTTTAAGAAGCATACTGAACAATGGCACTGCTCGACTCTTTCACTCTAAAGTAGATTTCAAGTATTGAATCAGATGCACAAAGCATGAGTTCTCTGATGAGTGCTAAGAAACACATGAAAAATGCCAGCCCCACATATATGTTTCCTCGAAAAATACACATAAAAAAAGAGATTAGGTAAATACTGTTCATAATAGCTCAATACTAATAGGATCTAGAACAATCCTGAACATGTACATATATAACTAGGGTCTTGAACAATGCTACCACGATTCACTTGAGGTTCAGTTATCAACTAGAAGCTTATAAAAACAACCTACAAAAATAGGCATTTTCCTATTATCTACAAGTTTTCTTAAAAGGCTATTTTCATACTTTGATGTTTGCTAACACAGTTACAGGACAGTTCCTACTTACACAGACAAAATATAACGTACCTTTTTAAAACTATCAAGTACCATTTCCCCTTTTAACAACACAAAAAAAAATTACAAACGTGTTAGTTTTTAAACCACTCCAAAGCTGAAACTATTTCAGAGACCTCAGAGCAGTTTCTGAAGAAGCATATGAGCCTCAAAAAGTACATTAGACTAAATGATTTTGCTTACAGTGGTTTGAGAATAGAAAAATCAGAGAAAAGCCACAAAATATGGAATACAAAGTCTACATACATTATCAACTGTTACATTGTTAGTGTATTTTTTCTTTGCAATTCAGTCCAAATCCAGTTTAAATAGGAAATAATCAAACGACCCAATAACAAAAACATAAAATGAAAAACTTAACATTCAGTAGTTATAGAAATTCAGACAGATTAAGATTGGGACAATGTATCAGCTAGAAATACATCATTAAGTATCAGATAAACTAAAAAAATCTGTCTTAAAAAAAGAATCAGGACTCATGCTGATGAAGTTACATTACTATTCTGTTTGTACACATGCATTTTGCTGTTAATCCTTCTCAATACCATACTGTTAGCTTTCTTGACAAGTCAGACATTTGTCTTACACATCTGTTGTTCTCTTTTGTATCTATGTGCAAAGACATTTCAAGAATTTACAGGTAATTCAGGTTACAGTAATTCTGTAAAATGGATTATCAATGCATGTGAAGCCTTACTCTAGCGAAGGCACACAAGAATCTTGTGAGAATTTAATTTTAAATCATAAAGTGTACAAACAGAAGTGTAAATACCTGCTATGGTACATCTGAACTTTGTAATAGGGTTTTATAATGAATACATTTAGTAAGTTACTCCAATTTAATCCATCTCTAACTGTAAGTAAATACAATAATACAAAGTGAATTTCACTGTATACAAAAATATTCACAATGGACCTTTAAAATCCTTCTGAACTAGGTGTAACACTTTTTTACTTTTTTTTTTTATATGCCAGTACAGTATCACATTTATGACTGTAGGTACACACAGAAATAAGAAGTATAGGTGCCATTCATAGGGTGTAGGCACACAGGCAACTTCATGTTACCTGATAAAACACAGTAATGTGGGGAGTAACTCTTCCCAGTACTGCTGATATATATATATAGTGATTGAGATTGTTAAATCTATTTATGAGTATTAATTAATGTAAAGAGCAAAACAAAAAAAAATGTATGGCAACATACATCTCGGTGAAAACGAAACATACAAACCAAAAGATCACTGTACGCTTTTATGTGTGTATTTATATATATAAACAAAACTACAGTAAAGCCTTTCTTCATTAAGACAGAAACAAGACAAAATGTTTACAACTTAACTTTTTAAAAAAATACCAAATATTTTCATTTACATGAGGAATACTAAATTTGTCCTTTAAACCAAATTATTAGGACCTATTTTCTTTGTGCAAGGGTATCTTACCTATGCAACTCCTCTGACAGAAAAGAAGTCCCAGCACACAACAAAGCTGAAAGAAGTTGTATATACAAATCCCACCTGAACTAAGACTGAAACCTCAGTTTCATTTTTTTTTGAAATTGTGCTTTGGAAGTTATAAAATGCAGCAACCTAACAGTATTGGACATGTTTTCTTAGGGTGAGAGGGTAGGGAATCTGTACTGGTCAAGAAATTCCGCATCTACATCCACAATAGTCTAAATACACAAAAATGAAAGCTATATTAATAAAGCACATCAAGGGTAAAAAAAAGTTGCCTTAAGTTCCATGTTAACAATTTTTAGTATACCTTGCTCATCTCCAACAGAAGTAAAAAACTCATTCAGCTCAATGGTTACTTCCCATTAGTAACTATTGGCAAATTTCACAAATATTATTTTATGATAAACGGGAAAAATCCAAGTCAACAAGAGAAACTGGAGTTATTTCTGTTAAATCTGTATTTTTATGTTCTGAGATTTTTTTCAATTAAGAACAACACTTGCTATTTTTATGCCATTCCGGAAATGTTTCTATCATTCCATTTCTGATGACAAAGTGGCATGAACTACTGCCAACTTTATTTCAGTGTCACCTTCCTATTAAGCCTTTGACTCCCCTTCTCAACATCCATTACTGCTTTTTTAGAGTATGAACCCAAGACAATATCCCGCTTAACACTCAGTAGACTAGTGCATTTAAGATCAGATTTTGTTTTCTCCAGAAGGAGTCAGTGACACAAAAGCCTAGCACGGAAAAACTGACATTCAAATAATGCAAAATTATAGAAATATTTTTACTTAGGAACAAGTTACAATTTATATGATTTCTAATATGCTTTGCTCTATTTAAGTTCTGAAAACGAATTTCCATGAATAAATGCCATAAGCAAATCTGGAAATTACATTTGGGGGCAGACATAAGAAATGGAAGTTGGGCAGACAGGCAAATCTGCTGGGTTTCAGTTTGAATGTGGATGTGGTGAGAAAATTCTAAAAATGGAAAAGACTACTGCAGCAAAAACAGGTAGTTTTGTTCTGTTCTCCCCTTATTGTCAAATATAAGGAATCGTGAGCAGCTCAAATTACCAATCCTCAAAATTGTACATCATATAATGTGATATACATTATATACATCATATATGTATTTTAAAGCTCTCAACAGTACACCAAAGAAAATGTTATTTATCGTGCCACTCTGTAGCTACCTAGACATTTGATGCATGAAAGACTCCAGAAACATGACATAAAAGAACATTTTAGCATGTCAACAAGCAGAAAAGAACCAACCCTTGTGTTGTACATTTGTTTTTACTAATCTTCAGAAAATGACTTTACTGTCAGAGAGGGCAGGGAATGAAAAAGCAGGTTGGTGGGGAAAAAACGACCATAAATCTTATTGAAGATAACACCTAAATTTAGCTAAAAGACAGGAAAAAGTGACTGGCCACATTTTAGAAAATAACAGGCAAAGTCTATCTACATTTCCTGAATTTGAGTAAAACTCACTGAAACAAAAAGAAAGAATCTACTAGTGCAAGGACGACAGCTGTATGTACATGTTCCCTACACAGATACAATCCTCACGTGACATATGAAGGGCTAAATGCTGCAGTCCTCACACAACTAGATTTTTTTTTGTTTTAGAATACAAATGATAAATACAAACAAATTTCATACGATCTTTGAAGATTACAAGAGAGCAGACATCAGTCTGACTTACTGCTTAATAAGAAATGGCTTGATTGCACTTCATAACAATTAAAAACATTAATACCACCTAAAATTAAAAAGAAGGCATGCCAACTGCAGGAAAGAGTGACACAAGTACTCCCTCCCAAGACCAGTTACCTGTCATTACTTACCTGACTCCGTTTCAGATGCTAAAAGAAGAAAGTAATTCAGTACGTTCTGCAGGACCATTTGAACGCAGACATTAATGGTGTAAATAATCCCAGATCTAGAGCACTTTTAGTAATTCAGTAACAGTAGAACAGCAAACTTAAAGAACACAAATGCTCACCTTCTTTAACGATGGCGATACTCCCTCTCTCTGTCTCGTTCTCTGTCGCGATCTCTGTCGCGATCACGATGCCTCTCTCTTTCCCGACTTCTTTCCCGGTAATAGTCATCATGGCGATCTCTACTACGTGATTTGTGGCGTCTACTTTTTTCTCGTGACCTACTGTGGTCCCTCTCCCTGGATCGTTCACGTCTTCTAAAAGAAATTACTTCATTAATTTTTTTTCTTCAAAACACAAGCCACTCACATGCCAATTCTGTATACTGTTGACTAGTAAGAATTGGATCAAAAAAGTATATATGAGAGAATCATCTCCTCAGATGTGAGAGAAATAACTCTTCGCTGAGATGCAGAGATGTTTTTGTGTATAACATGGAAGATATGAAAGGTGGTGATGGCTAAGAGCAGTTACAAATAGGTGTCATCCACTTCATAATCAAGGAAAAGTCAAAAAGCACACGTTCAAAATGGAGGACAGCTGAGATCATCCTCTGCCTTAAATGATTAAATTATTCCGACAACATGGCTGCTCATTGGGGTACTGAAAGTATGGGCCAAAACCAGATGTCTGTGTTTTTATCATTCAAAATATAAAAAAAGATGTTTGCTACATTATTTTTCAATAGCAAATTATTATCAAATTATACACTGGACAACTTAACTGATAAAGTAAAATTCAATTTTGAAGCTTACAGGCTGCAATACTAGAAAAGGATACTAATTAAGAACTAAGAGTTTAAAAAGTCATCAGATCAATTTTAAAAACAGGATTAGTTAAAAGGCAGATTATTTAAATTCAAAATCCACACTTGGTTCTTAAACACATTTCTTGTGCAGATGAGCGAATCACTAATCTTATCGCGTGACTTAGTTTCTTTCTCCTTTGTGAACTAGTCTTGCCCTACACCTTCCCCTTCAGAAGGGCAGATGGAAGAGGAAAGTTTTACCTGGATCCAGAACCATAAGACTTGGACTCAATTCCATGAAGGCAGTCTTGAAGAGAGCTAATAAGAACTTTACAACGATCATCAGCAGATACTTTGGACTGTTTAATTAAGGAAATTGCAGTTACCAGGGTCTCTATAGCACTTCCATAGTCCCCTGAAAACAATATAAAATCACTGTGAGAAAATTATATCAACTAAAACAAAAAAAATTCTATCTGTAGTAACATTACCATTCAGGATGTCTTCTCTTCAATAACCATCCAGATCATTTACTGTAGGACTAAGCATTAAAATACTGTCCAGATCAGTACTCAGAAAGCATTCACAGACATCAGCTGGAGCACAGTACAGAAACAGTCATAGGTTGTATCTAACTTCTGCCTCCTGAAAGCCATATTAGCAAGACACGGCTTCAAGGCTGTGGGTTTCCTGATAGAAAAACTCTACTCTTTCTAGCTGGGTAGAATAGAAAACATTAATAAAGCTTTACTAACCAGCACTGGCATCTGATACAGCTCTTGAAATGGCACTGCTTGAGATCGCCCTATTTCTATTCATGATTTCTTCAAATTCTGCTTCACTTAGAGGTGTCCTTGCAGCATCCATTTCTCTGAAAGTAATAAAACTACTATTTAAAAGATTAAGAAAATGTTAAGGAGTTATCATTGCAGTTTTAACAATCCAAGTTCACAACTTTAAGCAAAGTGACAAACAGAAAAGAAAGCAGGATCTGGGTTTGGTTTGTGTTAAGGACCATGTTACAGTACAAAATCCTGAAAGCTTAAAAAAGGATAAAAACAAACAAACAAAATAAATAAATAAATAAAAGTATTCTTATTCATCCCACCTATTTTGAAAATTCAGCAGCACTTGAAACTGTGCTTTACAAATATTTATCATTTTCATAAAATCCTTCAAGGTATGTGAGCAGATATTACCCCAATTGAATGGATGTGGAAAGATATGTACACAGATAACGCAACTTTGAGCAAAACTAGGAATCTTCTTATGAAAATGATGGAATTAAAACTGTATGATACCGTTTTCCAGATTCTTAAGTAAGACCAGAGTACTGTAACTTACAAAAAGCAACTATAGTCTGTCATTTTTAAAACAACATATTATCCGAATGACACTTCAACATTTTACAGCTAATTCTAGTATTTATTTCTGGTCAAGTTCAAGGTACTTCAAATATATCTACAAATTGGTCACTGTAAAGAAGAAGCAATAAATGAGAATCCTTGTACTCATTACATTTTAATTATTAGCTACCTATAAATGGATTACAAAGTAACAGAAGTTAACCCAAACAATATTGTTCTCAGAAGTTTTGCAGCATCCTATTAGCCAGTCTCTGAACGATACACACGATCCAAAGAAATGTGTTAAGAGATAAAAGTTGAGACTGTTAAACTGACCCCACTGCTTGATATTTCTAAAATAGCGTTAGTTCTTCTGGTAGAAAGAAAATGCAGAATAACAAGCAATGCTATCCTCTTAAGTGCAAGAAGTGGAATAAGATCCTATAGCCAGTTTAGCATAAGAGGAAATGTCTAAAAATTCATACCTCCCTGAGTTTTGAGTATTATTTTTCGTGTGCCTCCCATAGAATGGAATATGTAATTTTTCTCTTATGGGCATGTTATTTCCAGTGAAACGCCTATGATATATAATTAATGACAATTTAAATAGTTATGGATGATAGTTTTAACATTACTAATGAAAATACTGGACAGTAAGTTATTCTGTCCTATCCCCACTCCTTCCCTCCCCAGCCATGCTATCAACTGCAGACAACTTAGATTTTGTCCATCAAAAAAAAAATAATAAAATACCTTATCTTTATTATATTTCAGGCAATTAAGCCAAATGCTTGAATTTCTACATTTTCTGTATTAACATAATACGTACAAATGCTTGCTTTTCTTTTTTTAAACTTCGTGCTCATATGTAAAAGAAAGATTCAAAGCAAAGTGCCTGTGCAGAGAACATTTTAGGTAAGGGAAGTCTCTCTAAATAGCAGTAGAAGTCTCTCTAAATAGCAGTAAAACCACAAGTGACAAATCCACACCTAACTATGCATAAGGTATCTTACAACTTATCCCAAGATGTTCTAAGAAATACAAATATGGTGAAAATTAAGAAACAGCAGTCAGACATAGATGCTTGAAAGCACAGATGAAAAAGATGTTTCCAATGATGTGAAACACTTGACAAGGCAAGTCAGAGAGACTCAGAAACCCTGGCCAAGATAGGATTAACCGCAGAAAAGGCCACTGCTACGAGCACAGCAAGATTGTACCAAATAACCAGAAAAGGCTTAACAGAAAAGGAAGATAAAAGTCTTGCAGTAAATTCCCACCTGTTTTTTGAGACAAAGACTAACTTTGAATTGAATCCTTCAGGAAAGAGACAAGCAGAGCTACTGAAAGATGAAAATAGTATGGGCTTGGTGTGGCACCATACTCAACATATGCACATATTCCAGGAGGAGAATTCCAAAGCATTCTAAAATGACAGCTTGCAAAGCAAGACGGCAAAGGAACAAGTGAGAATTTTGAGTTAAGACAGAAGCACAACCACAAGCTACTGATAGGAAGTGATATAGTAAGTTAACATGTAGTACACATGGAATAATGACACTGCCAAACACAAACAGTGAAGACAAACAGTTCAAAGCTGAAAATGGAAAGTAAGATTACTAGTGTTGCATTTTAGGATTTTCTTACTGCTACGAACATATTTCTTAGCGTTATTTCACTGAGAAGTAAACGGGGCAAATCTGAAGACTGATTAGACCTCTTCCACTTTTTTTCTCACTTTTAACTAACATTTGCATTAAAAAGAATGATCAAATGCGTCCTACAAGGCATAAAATCTGCTACGAAGCACATTACACCAAAAGCTCTCACCTGCCAGGTGGCCCATAGTCACCTCTGTCATATGGTGGAGGTCGGCCATAGGGATCTGTCGGAGGTGGGCCACGGCTGTCTGAAGTAGGTATGCCACTATTGGCAGGTGGGGGGAAGAAAGCTGGATTCACGTGTGGTGCAGGCGGTGGAGCACCTGGAGGTGGCCCAGGGAGATGTGGAGGAGGAGCGAGAGTCAGGGGAGGCCCAAGAGGCCCAGGTGGACGAGGGGGAAATGGACCCGGAGGTGGAGGTGGACCCTGCTGAGGTGGTGGAGGACCTGGTGGTGGCCCGTAGCCTGGAACTGGTGGTGGAGGGCCTGGAGGAAGGGGCCCGAGAGGAGGCTGACCAAAAGGCTGTCCTGGAAACAGAACTGGTGGTGGTGGACGGTCACCACGATTAGGAGGTCCAGCTAAAGGAGGTGGGAGGACCTGACCAGGAGGTGGAGGGCCTGGTGGGCCTGGTGGACCAGGAGGACCTAACGGTGGACGTGGGGGAGTTTGTCCAGCTAAAAAAAAGAAAAAAGAAAAAAAAAAAAGAAAAAAGTCAATATAAAGAAATGAGTTAGTGAAATAACTTTTTCTTCTCAAAAAAAAAAAAAAACCCTCACTGAACAATTTGCAACTTGTGTAAGACATGCATGTCTTGCACTTTGGGGTCCAGTAGCTTAGTAAATTTATAATAATTACTTCATTATGAACATCTAAAGAAAACATTAGTAAAATGAAAACAGACCACAAAAAATCACTTAACCAGTTGCTATTGCTATCGAAATAAACCAAAGCTTACAAAAAAAAAAAAAATATTACACCCTACCTACCCCTACAGCTTGCCTTTCATACGGGGCATAAGATATAATGTTTATTAAAAAATATGCGAAAAGCTATACTGGAGAATATTTGGCTCCTACATTTACCATACCTACTTTCAGGTCCTCATTAGTGTTTTTTCAACCTACATCCCTTTGACTGCTAGTAGGAGATCCACTACAGAACGACGTCTATTAAAACACAGCGAAGCTGAAATGAGAACTTCACTGTAATACAAGCCTGATGTTTAAACAGAGATTTGTCCCAGATCAGATACCTGACTATACACAAACACCCTGCTCTTTAAATTTTGGTAATCTAAGTGCCTGCTAACTGACCTGTCACTGGGCATGAATCAAAGCTAAATTCTTGTCTTGTGCATATTTGTAATGCAATGACAAGCAGTTACTACACAGTCTGCAACGCAAGTATTCTCACCCCATATAGCAAATCAGAACTACACCATAGAAAATACAAGTCTACTCTGTAACGTGATTTACCTCAATCTTTTTCATACTTAAAGAGACATGTACATTGACACACTATAAAGAATGTCCCTACAAACGCTGTTGCTATCTAATTTAGGAAGCACAACTCTGCATTTCAACAACAGAGTAGGGTAGACACCTACAACCCAGTGGTAAACGATCATTATAGCATATTAAGTGAACTGCCTTGATTTTTGTAATTTCCAAATAACTCCATTGCATTAATAGAAGAAAACAGAAATGTAAACAAAACCCCACACATTAATTGTTTTACCTGGGAAAGGTGGTGGTGGCCCTCCCGGCCCTGCTGGCCCAGGGAATCTGTCTCCACCTGGAATGGCACCAGGAAAACGGCCTCGCCCTCTGTTACTTGGTGGGAATGCTGCTCGTGAGCTTCCTCCTGGAGGCCCGGCTTTACCTTCCCCTGACATCTGGCCAGACTGCGTGGCTGTGATGGAAAAGCAAAAGTGTAATTATGTAAGTCAAAACAGGTTAAAGCTTTCCAATTCTCAGCCCGAAGTTTTATGCAGCACTGAAGTAAAACTTTATGAGCTTTTCCTTGTTCCTCCGCACCTAAGAAAATAAGGGGCCAGAGTGGAGAGGGAAAAAATGCTTTGCTAAAATACAGCAGTGTTCCAGTATCCCCATACAAATGGAACAGCAACTGGGGAGACTGTCAGTCCTTGCTTTAATGCAGCCTGAGGCCACTCACTGTTAGGACTAGAAACCACGAGACAAGGTGTTGTAGGAAAGCACATCACAGAATCTCTCTTCTCCACCTGATCATAAGCACAACTTATCCAGACATGAGAATTTAGTCCCATTTGTCTACGAATGTCAAATTTCTAAATACTCGTGTTTTATTTTTGTTTGCTTTCAGTTAAATTCACAAGAAGGAATTCAGAAACCTTCTCCAATGGTAAGACAAACGTTTTACAAAGCTGCAATCTTCTTCCAGTAAGTGCCATCTCCTGCTAAAACCACAGACCTTCAATATATTGATTTTTTTAGAGGATCTTTTTTTTTTTTTTAACAAAACTGCAAATTCATTTACATAAGTATTTTATAGCTATTTTAAGCTGCACAGAAATTATCAGATGCTGAAAAAAAATGCAGTATGGCTTTTGGAATTATTTTTCCAAGACAGCACACTAGAAAGACTTACTTTTCCTTGACTGCATTTCAAACTGACTCAAAAATTGTTTATTACATGGAGTAACAACAGGATTCTGCCCATGCAATTCTCTTTTAGGCAGCAAGTCCATCAGCTTTTTGGAGGATGCTTCTGATCCCACACCCACAAGGGCAAACCTGAAAGGAAGAAAAAAAAAGGTTACACTGCAGTTTTTCCATTCCTTGGAGATCCTAATGCCTCATGAATAAAAGTTTAACAGAGTAAGCGGAAGGACACCTGAAAACCAGATCAGAAACGCTTTCACAGATCTTAGCCAGTTTTAAAGACAGATAAAGTAACTCATTCTAAGATATGTGAAGAACCACAATGCAAGTATAACATGCAGCAAAATATACAACAAAGTTTGTTTTCTGGTAGAGTATCAACACACTATATATGAACTAATATGATCAAGTTATTATCAAGAATTCACTGTGTTCTCATTACTACTGCCATTAGTACTAAGGAGAGACAAAGGCAGTCAGTCATGCATGGAAGATCAGACTGCCAGTGAAAAATCAGCTCGAGCACTCACTTCGAACAGTTAATAGAAAAATCAGGCATTTAAAAATGACTCAATAATGGGGCTAAGGGGAAATTGTATTTACATTAGGAAGAACATCATTGTCACTACCACACTAACTGAAACTTAGGAAAAGAGTCTTCATGAACATCACCAATAAAATTTAACATACTAAATAGTAAGACACGCAACACTGCCATAAAACGTACATCTGGAATTTAAATCATTAGTATGAAATTATAAGCCCAACCATCACTGGATGTCAATAAACAAAAGCAATCAGTTTACATACTGACAGTCATGAAAAATCAGAACTCTTCCCGATGCCCATCCTCCCCAAGGCCAGTTCATTTAAAGAAAAAGGAAGTGACAAGTTCTTACCCTTTAGACTGGCCATTAGCACGATTTTCAAAAAATTTTATCTCCAAAATATCATTTACCCCCAATGAATGAACTGCTTCAGTTAAGTCTTCATCTGTTGTCCACTGAAAAATATATTTTAAAACAATATTCAGTTATGAAAACTTATCTGTAACATCAAGAAAAGAACAACCAAATTTTACATGTTTTTTTTTTTTTTGTGCGAGCTGTCAAGAGGAATACTTTATTCAGGTTGCCAGTATTTTCTGACTCTTACAGAGCAGTCACTGACATTTTAAAATTCCCAGAAAATTAGTTTTAAAAACACACACTTCCTCATAGCGTGTGTTGCCCCAGTCCCACCACACAGTATACCAGCTACAGTACGCCAAAAAAACAGTTACATCTGACTAACTTTTCTGAAAGCACTTTTTCAAGAGTATCAGGCTTAAACCGAACTATTTTCAACCCAAACGATCCTATGATTGATTCTATTTTAATAACCGTTACATTTTTGGACATGCAGTCCATTTTTTTTCTCCTATCAATTTCATCTCCAAACCTAAAGTCTATTTTTATCACCCTATTATTAAACTGGTGCTCTTTAAGACAGCTTTGATTAGTGAGAGCCTAGACACTATTTGCACAGAAGTAGCAAGATTTACAAACAGAAGATGGGAAAACCAGCACAAAACCTATGTTATTAACAACTGTTTTCACTTCAACCCACTTGCTCTATCTTCCTGTTAGTTACTATGTAATGTTCAACAATTTCACACATATTCAAAGATGTGTAACACATTAAAACAATTAATACTCATGGGTTTCTTCCTACTTCTCTAACTCCATCACCTCCTTAAATCTGGTATGGAAACTTCAAAGCAGGCTTTCAAGATTCTCAACCACTTATCTGACCTCCCTCAAATCAAGGCTTCTTTTAAAACTTTAATAAATTACTTTGCTGAGATCTAAACACAAAGGAAACAAATGTAATAGTGACGCTCAAATGAGTGAATGCACTTGTTGTGGTAACTTCATTTGTGAAGCCAAATAATGAGTAATAAGCAAAAATAACAGTACACAGTGGCCTATCTACTTTGGAAACCATGACTTTTGACTTGGATGAGTTCAGCTGATTCCATTCATGTATTTTAGAGCAGTACAACTGTTAAGTCAATTACTCTCTTACTTAACAATTAGCTCCTGAAACTAGGATACTATAAAATTAATGAAGTATCCACAAAGCATTCTTTCTCAAGCTTAGCACTAGCAAAAAATTCATTGCAAGGGAAAAAAAAATGAATGAAAATTTTGCATGCATGGACTTTGGTAGAACTGGATTTCAGGTGAAGAGAGACGAGCTCCAGTTAATTTAGCTACTGACCAGCTACTTGCATTTTGATTAAGCGCAATCGATTCTAAAATACTTTAATGCTGACAAAAGTAATTGTCTGAAGGGCAATTGTAGTTCAGGGAGTTACTGTTACTCCCAAGACTGCAGAAATAAGCCTCAGGGCAAATATGTGAAAACAGCTTTGTTGCAAGAGTCACTGCTCTGGAAAAAGGCAAAAAATATTTTCAAGAAAATCCCAGAGAATCTTAGTTTCTTTATAAACTAAAAACTTTAGAAAGGGATTACTTAAAAACAGGTTTGTTTGGTAGCCTTAAAGCATCTCCAAGCATAAGATATTTGACAGTTTAAGCTTGTTCTCTTTCATTCAGTTCTCTGAAAAGATGGTGGTACCACAAATATCCCTTCATAGCACTTAGAACAGCAGAGAAAACTTTAAAGGTAATATTTACTGAAAATTTAATCCATTTTTAGACATCAAGACAGCTCCAGGCAGGCTCACTGAATTGCAGGTAAAAAAAAAAAAAAAAAAGAAAAAAACCTTATTTGCTGCACTTTTAATATTTCATATAACAATTCTTAAATGAAAAAACACAAAGAATTATGTTCACAATTTTCAAATTGCCGGCTTCACCTGAATGGTAATAAGGTACTTACCCAAGTAAGATTTCCAATGTACAAGGCAATTCTCTTTCCAGTATACGTGTAGACAACGTTTGGTGCAGCTCCTTTACCTACATCGTCTCCAACTGATGGTGGGAGAGAATCCATATAATCACGATCTTCTGGGGCATCTCCATTATTTGCAGACGGAGAAATTACATCATCGTACAAATCGATCTGATCATGTCCACCATATTCAGCTTCCTAAAATACAAAAAGCACCTAATTATTAGTTTAACATTCTTAAAACTTAGTGCAAAAAAAATACTCTGACAACATTCCACAGACACAGTTAGTTTGACCTAACACCTATACAACATCATCCACATCCATTTTCATCCCCGTGAAAATATACCAAATTCTTATGACTTCTAATGGATTCTAAACGACCAAAAAAAAAACCAACAAATACCACCTCCAACTAGCGTTTGGCACTGCAACGCTTTCAAAGCTTTCATATAAAGAGAAAACCCAAGACACAAGCCCTGCTCCCAGAATTACAGCCATCAGCAAGTACAAGCTATATGCAAAGTTCCAGCATTTTTATTTTTTTTTTAATCACAACATTTGGTAGAATGAACAGACCAAGCTTCAAGAGGACCAAACGGATAAACTCTTGTATTTCAGATTTCTACTGCATTCCAAACTTCAGTTTTACCTCCTCATTCACAGAGAGGCCAGAAAGGGACAGAATTCTATTTTATTTCATTAAATTTAATAAACCTTTGGGTTTGCACCTATTAAATATTTATTTATTCATGGGTTACAGAGGGACTATTCTACAGTATCAAGGCTGCCTCCGGAACATTTTGGTTGAGAAAATTATCACGGGGTTTTGGAGTGAATCGCTCCCTTCTCCGTTGAGTCGGTACAGCTTACAGCACGGTTCTGTCCAAGTGAAGACTCCTTCCAGAGGGAATGGAAACGTGAGTTTCTTTCCCAAAGCTCCACTTGCTGTGCTCAGCAACTGCATACTACCTGCTATGTGCAAACACACGGGTCAAAATCAACCAGCAGTCCCCCAGATACACTGAATTTTAAGCATAGAAGGAATATTTGGTCCAAAAGACCAGACTGAATTTAGCCTGAGAGAGACCACGAACACAGGGCATTAGGAAGATGGAGAGCCCTGAGCACCAGCTACCTCAGGCTGCTGATGCACTCTGAGCAAGACATACTGCTTTTGACTACAGAGGCAGCTGTACTCTCATCACAGAAGATGGGCAAGCAAGAGAAGAGTTAAAGAGAATCTTCTTCACAACAACATGCAAAACAATTTTAACACAGTGTAAACTTCATCAGTGGAACTGCTTAATTCCAAACAGGAATGAATAGGTGGTGCAGATTTGCATTAAGGAATTACTTTTCAAAGACTTCTCGCGATACTTTCAATTTGTCATCTTATACAAAGGCATCCATCATACTCATCGTACACCGGAGCAAGTCCAGAGAAGGGCCACGAGGATGCTCAGAGGGCTGGAGCACCTCTCCTGTGGGAACAGGCTGAGGGAGTTGGGGTTGTTCAGTCTGGAGAGGAGAAGGCTCTGGGGAGACCTTACAGCGGCCTTCCTGTACCCAAAGGGGGCCTGCAGGAAAGGTGGCTCTGTCAGGGAGTGTAGTGACAGGACACAAGGGAATGGCTTTAAACTAAAAGAGGGTAGGTTTAGATTAGATAAAAGGAAGGAATTCTTCACTATGAGGGTGGTGAGGCACTGGCACAGGTTGAGCAGTGTTTAACGTTAACCTTCAAAGCTTATATAGTGACTTCTGGAAGTGGTTTTGCCATACACAGAGGTTGTGCTTCAAACAACTGCAGAGGGTTCCTGGACTCTTCCACGCCGATCCAGCACAGAAACTGCTTCTCCAAGTTTTGATATTGGAGGTATTTCAGGGGCTGCTATCTGGTGAATGTGCATCTACAAACCCACGTAACCATCTCAGATAGAACAGCTCCGGATACCAGATACGGTGATCAGAGAATCAACTTGGATTTCACAGAAAACAGACTGCAAAGCCGGCAAACTTGGTTGAAAACCTCCTATATTCACAATCATCATCAGATGATCAGCTCTCTTGGAAGCATAAAAACATTCATTATCAAGTGCTACTCCTGCCAAGAGGATAGCGCTACAATAAAAAACAAAACCTGATACGCAAAGTTTCGGCAGCATCAGTCAAGCAGATTTGATCCTCAGTAAACTGCACAGGCCCCACATACCCTGAACTTCAACAGGAAATCAACGTCGTTTGAGGTAAGTTTATTTTGGCCACATTCAGTAAGAGTTTCATATTTTCCCTGAGTGTGCCCAGCTCTCTGTCAGTTTGATTCCTCCTATCATCACAATTAATGAAAGGAGGTTCAAAGAACCGCCTGGGACAGGCTGGGACACGGTACCTGACAGGGAGATTACGGCTGATGTCACGAGGCAATTAAGGAAATCCTCTGCTGAACGTGGAGTAATTCTGCCCATTTGTGTGGGGGTGATGACTTCAGGGAAGTAGAATTTGGTCCTGGTAGACAGATCCAAACAAGCAGCCACCAGTCTTACGGCAGAGATACACCAACCTCTCTCTGAGAAGGCTGAGCTCAGCATTGCCAAGTACCCACCAGAGCAGTTAGCAGTCCACAGCTCTGCTGCACCTCCTCAGCAGCGAGAAACTCCTCTGAAATGGATCAAGTTCCTATTATACAGGCTTTCGGATCACCGTCAAAGGAGAGAGAATTACCTGGGCGCTGCACGTTGAATGTAATCTCTTTGTCAGCTTGCCTGACAGCATCAGTGCCCTGATTTAACTCAGTAACGACGCAGCAGCAAACCTGATGCTGCTCACTACAGTCTCTCCTCACATCGTGCTGGTTTTGCAGCCAGCGTGGAATTCACTCAGCAGTCAGTCAACAAGGCATGTGGTTAGATGATTAAGAGTGATCTGAGTCAGCAGCTGCAGGTGTAGATAGAAGAGACCCGAGATCTCTCAACGGCTGTTACCCAAGATCCAAAAACCCCTTCCTCCTTCACACGCGGACCATGGAAACTCACCCCAACACGCTCTTCTCTCCTAGATGCAGATGAGTAAGAAGGAATACAGGAAGCCCTGCTCAAATAGCTGAGGCTGGAGAAGTAAATGTGCCACGCATGTCACATTGCTGGCTCTGACATCACCTGACTTCCTCAGTTAAAAGAAGAGCAAGCACAAGAAGAAATGGTTTCTGCTCAGTTACAGCCATTCACAACCCTGCTGATAAACACGCCAAGAAACAGGCTGCTGTCTGAAACCTCAGATCATTTGCTCTGCAAAATCGGGTCTGAAATTCCCCATTCAGGGCTATTTGACTGGCATTGGGGGAACAAAAAGGGCATTGGAAAGATACACCATAAAAAACTCACCCCAGACCAGCTGTCACGCTACCAGTTACTCGGCCCCTCCCCGGTATTTTACATTTTAATTACGCTCACAGTGTTTTGCAACATTCAGAAATGAAAGGCAAACACATGGAACATCACAGTCATCTGCAGAAGGGACAAATTAAGTGTTACTTCTTTCTGAAACTTAGCAGCCATACTGCGAGTTGCAGCAGAGAATTGGTCTCTCTCCCCCTTTACCCAAGGCTGTTTTGGAAAATGCTGCCTTATTTTTCAGGGGTATAATTTCTTTGAACAGTATATGCATCTCTCAGATCTGCTTCTTCCCTCTGTTCAATGTGAGAGTCAAGTGCTAAATTACATCCCCAAGATGACAGAAGTGACAAAATTTCATGAAAATAATCACTATAATTTCTGAAAAAAGCACTCAGTTAATAAAAAGCAAGTTATCCATCTTCTCCTTTACTACTTTTGCCAATTCAAAATTACAATGCATGGAGTAAAAAACTCGAAATACATGTTAGCAAACTCACTTTAAAAAACAGTGGTAGTCCAAAAAAAAAATCACAAGAAACAGGCAGAAACCCTTCTGGTTCTGATTAGCGCCCGAACGCAGAAGCTGGAAGTCTAACAGAACAGCAGGCCCTTGGTGTGTCGGAAAGAACACGCTGTCTGTGGCAGGAACATCTACGATGGGGACACGTTTGTCGGGCCATAAGATTCCCATTTACACTACAGACCCAACCACTCTCAGCTTTTATTATGTATTAGACAAAATAGTTTTTGTCTTTTGCTGCTCCAGACCACGAGGCAACAGAGTGACATGTTCCCAGGACTCTGCAGCCACAGAAGCTTTCAGCCTCCTAGCTGCTTACTCCATCTAAAGCACTTCTACTAGCCAGCTACAAAATACAAAGTCAGAACTCTTTCATTTCTCATTTGTTAGGATTTAATTATCAAACCAGAACTCTTCAAGGCACAGTCAGATAAACCCACGATGCAACTACACTTACCATAGTATAAACAAGAAAGCCTTTTTGCCCCAGCAAGAGATCCTTCCGATCACGCAGATGATGTAACAGTAAAGCAGAGATACATGCTGATTAAGCTGGCAGTAAATACTGTGTGTTTTTAAAATAGTTTAATTATGTGTGTATTCGTATGCATTCCCTGGAACAGCAATTCCTGCTTCTTACAGGTCACCAGCTACGCGTGCAGGGAGCGCTGCGTTTCAGAAGCTCGTCTCAGAACAAGACCCTACACTTAACGTGAAAGGCTCCTGGGTGGAGAAGCCAGCTTCAAAGAAGAAAATAAAAAATGAGTCAAGTAAAGTACCCAAAAAAGGAAATACAATAAAAAAAAAAAGTTAGATGCAATTGGCGGGAGCCAAGTGAAGTAAAGCTGTAAGCACAAGGACAAGAGGATGATGAACAATAAGTTAATGAAAGGGGAAGAGGCATCGCAGACACAGTTCTGATGAGCTCCAGATGGGATGGAAAGAAGAGCTCTCGCTGAACAGCTCTGACTTGGAGTCAAGTCAGCCAGCTCTTTGCAACCTATGGCTGGTTGCAAGCCAGTCCTCAGCTTTCATTCAGCTCAGCCAGCCTGGAACCCCACGGGCTGTGGTCTTTACTTCACCCTTCTAGCCTGTGGCTCATTTACTGCTAATCAAGTGGAACATCTTCCCGCCCCCCGGACAAAGGCATTAAAAATATCCCCGAGGACGAGCACCTCGAGGCCCGGAACAGGACAGGGCAATGAAGGGAAGCTCATCAAGCCACAAGCCCTAAAAGATCTCCTTACTACAGACACAACCAAAAGTTTTGTCCTGGCTTTGTTCAAAATACAGTTGTGCTGTCCAAAGACAACCAAAAAACTGACAAATTAGATTTTTTCATCCCTGCTACTGACAAAACTTTTGGAAAAGGTTCCTGCAGCCTAATTCAAATGAATATTGAGGAAGTGAACCACCGAATTCAAGAACAACAGTTGATTGTTTTACTTATCAAGCAAACTTTCCTTTCAAACACAGCACCCCTTAAGATGCCTGCTACCCAAGTTGCCATCAATTCCACTGTTTTCTCCCCACAGCATTTGCTACCTGTCATCTTCACCCCTGCACAGCTCTGCTGAACCACGTCCTCCGTGCCATCAATTTAAGCTGTCAGCTTCAAATCAGAAGCCATGAGCAGAAGTTTCAAGAGGGCCTATCACAAGGACGTCAGGATTAAAGGTAGTAACACCGTAGGCGGTAACAACCAGCTTTTGTTCATGCTTCTCAGAAGGAAATGGGGAAGTGCAGAGGTGTCAATCACCCCCAGTACAAATTTCTATTTTAATGTAGCACAGCTCAACTGAGCAGGTCGTGAGACAAGATCAAAGTCTCAAAAATCAAACTTGGAAGAGAATAAACAGCCAAATTTTACAAAAATGAGATAAAAGAACCAAGCTGAGAAAAAATGGGCACCAGTCCCTTCTCACTTTTCTCCCCTATTTTCTACTCTGCACGACTCAAGAAGTAGGGAAGCATCAGCTTGCAAAAATTTAGCCCTAGCGGGATTGCAACTGGGGTGAGCACGGTGAAAAGAGCAAAAGGAATCCCTCACAGATGGAAGAAGCTAAGCTACCACAAGATCGTCTTCATTTGTGCCAACAGCCTTCCTAGCAACGTGCCTACAGGTGATACTGGGATCAACCAGCACTGAGTAGCCCAGGACCGAGGTGCACAGAGAACCCCCGTCGGTTTTGCTCTGGCAGCATATGTGCGCGCTGTGCTTCCAGCCAGGAACTGCTCTGCTTCGAGGGCTTCTGCATATATGAATGAAACATTACTGGACTCAACTTAGTTTTTCAGGAAAACTTGATTCGTTATCAGTACTTCACCTGGAAATGTCCAAAACAAAGCCAAAATTAATACAGAAGCTGATGGGATGCACTCATATGCTAAATGGCATTTGTGCTGAGGTTCAGCCCCACTTAAATTCCTGTAACTGGTCTTCGGCTGCAAGAAATAAAGTTTCCTGAGATGGCTTTAGGTTGTCAGCACGACTAACTCTGAATCCCATAACCTAGTATCTGTCTCCCAGTTCTCTGGGGGGCGGGCAGGCACTGGGCACCACTCGGTGAGCCCGGTAAACCTGTGAGAGCGGAGTTGTGCTTGGTTCCTGCCATTCTAGGTCAGGAACAACGCGATCTGGGGCGGCACAACCTGGGGAAGGGCAGGAATCGCGAGCAGGCCAGCTGGCACGCCAAGGCACCGCAAAAAAGCGGATTTTGGAGGGAAAGCGGAGGAGGGGGCAGGACAGAACTAGCAAAGTCGGCCACTTGGAGCCCGCGGAAGTTCTGCGCGGCTTCCTCATCAAAATAAATCTCCTCTTACGAAGAGATGCGTTTGTGTTTTTTTTTAAAGTACAGAACAACGAGAGCAAAATAAATAAACAAAGCAGAGGGCAGCTTCTTTCCCCTGTGCTGCAAAGTGAAGCTGCCACTCGTTGGGCCTCCCCCGCAGCGGGCGGGTGGCCGGGAAGCTGCTGTTTGCTGCTGTTTGCTGCTGCTTTCCCTCCGCCTGCGAACAATGGCAGCGGCCCGGCCCTGCCACCACCGGGGGGGGGCCGGGGAACGGCACCGGGGAGGGGACGGGAGGGGAGGGGAAGGGAAGGGAAGGAAGGCGGGAGGAAGGCGCTGCTGGCGGCACCTTGCTCCGTGCCCACCGGGGAGCTGCCCTCGGCGGCCGGGCCCCCTTCCCTTCCCTTCCCTTCCCTTCCCTTCCCTTCCCTTCCCTTCCCTTCCCTTCCCTTCCCTTCCCTTCCCTTCCCCTCCCTCCCCTCCCCGCCCCCTCCCGGTGCAGGCACAATGGCGGCGGGGAGGCCCGGCCGGGCCGTGGAGCCGCGCTGGGGGCCCTGCGGGCGGCGAAGGCGGGGCCGAGCCGAGCCCGGCCGAGCGGAGCGGAGCCGTGCGGGGCCCGGTCCGTACCTGGTTGAACTCCTCGCCCACATCGGCGTAGATGTCGATGTGGTCCACGCCGTCCGCCATGATCCCGCCCGGCCGCGCCTCGGGGCCGCCGCCAGCCGCGCCCGGCTCCGCCGCCGCCGGGAGGGGGAGGGAGGGGGCGGGGGAGGGGCCGCGGCGTCACTTCCGCGCCCGCTTCCGTCCCCCCCTTCCCGCCCTACCCGCGCTGGGGGTCGCTGCCCCCCCCCCCCCCGTCCTCCCGCCGCCGCCATGTCGGGCTGAGGCGCGGGGCTCGCCCCGTGAGGCGGCGGAGGGGGGGTGGGGGCTGCGCAGAGCCCCTGCTGGTCCCAAACCCGCCAGCAGCCCCTAATGCACCACATACACAGTGTTATTCACCACGGATAACGTACTGTGTTGGGCATCGTGTTGCATGCCCCAAAAAATAACAACAAAAAACACCCACGCACACCTTCTGTACCTTCTGACCTGACAAAATAACTCGTTTTTTCTTCAGACCGCGTGAAAATAACGCAAAAAGGTCACTGGAATGAAAGTGTGGAGTGCTGTTCACAAGTTGATTCATAGAATCGTGGAACCATGGAACCATAGAATCCAGAACGGCTCCGTTTGGAAGGGCCCTAAACACCCACTCAGCTCCAGCCCCCTGCCATGGCAGGGACACCTCCCTCCACACCAGGTTGCCCAAAGCCCCATCCAGCCTGGCCTTGAGCACCTCCAGGGATGGAACATCAACAGCTGCTCTGGGCAACCCCTTCCAGTGCCTCACCACATTAAAAATTTCCTTTTCAATGGCTGGGGGTGGTTCCCAGTTCCTGGACCAGCACCTATGTCCCACACTCTCCTGGTTTCACACTGGGTCCAAGACCCATGTGGATACTGCCTCTACCACACTGCCCCCACAGTGTAGTTTTCATTGAAAGGCAAGATGAACGGACCATAAAAGAGATGAAAATCACAAAACCACAACAAGAGACATGCTGTGGAGCACACTGGCCAACAGTCCAAGCCCCTGGGCATGCGGGTTCTTAGATTATTCCAGGAGTCCCTATCCATTTTGTGGCATACTAAAATTTACCAGGTGCTGACATCTTGTGTCCTATCTGGTTGTTAATAGTTCTGGAAGCCAGAAACCCAGCAGCTGGAGATTGTTCTCAGCTACACTGGGCTTTCCGGGTTAGAGGAACTAACAGCTGCCTTACTCTTTGGCAAAGATCAGAATGTCACCTGAAGATTTGCTAAGGTGCTTGCAGGCACTGTTAAAGTACTGAGATTTAAATAAGTTCATGTGTTTGCTTAATGATGAACTGGTGTAGTGACTAGTATTTTACCATCACAACACGAAGCACTTTGACACAACACTGCTATCCATCTGGCCATGCTGAACAAAATTACCAAAGTCAGGAAAAATGAACCCTTCCTATCCTACAATCTGACCAATTCATGGGAGATGGCAGGTTGTGTGCAGATGGATGTTTTATATGCATCTGGATGCAGTAAGAAAGTTGTGTGTACATCCTAATGATGTTTAAAGGGGCAAGGAAATTAAATACAAATGAGAAAGTCATTATACTCACCTCAGCAACCACCTCAGGGATCACCACTAGCATTTGAAGAACCCCTCCAGGGGGCTTTGAAGAGGTGGGAAAGGACACTGCCTCTTTGCTCTGGGAGATAATGAAGGGCGACCAGTGAAGCCCTTAGACCTCTGCCTGTGTTTTGTTTCTCTGCTCACGAGGCTTTTCCACTTCAGAGCCTTTCTAAATAACTTCAGTTATTTATTGCACACAGGCATTAACAGAATATAGTACAGTCATTTTTGTTCTTATATACATACCATTAAGCAAATTCTGTAAACAGTGTAAGAGACTAAATATTATGCAAGCTGTTCTATTTAATTTCTGCTGTGTTTTCATTCTTTTCATGAGTAGACTCAATAAATATGTCTTCAACTTTCTTGTGGTCACCAGTAGCTTCTTCATGAATTATCCTCTTCATGGAGCAGCTTAAGAGTTGATCCACTCTAGTGGAAATGTTCGTACTTCTTATTTTGTACACAGCAAAATCATTTAGACCATATGTTGCCTTCTCCCCGGAACATTCAGAGGCTGAGGCAGAGCATGGGCTGAAGCAGAAGTGTGGTGGTGAGAGAACTGTCAGTGGTATGGGAGGAGTTTTGTAGGGGACAGCAAGTTACAAAATGATTGCACGCCTTCCAAACCCATTGCCCAGCATGAGCGCGTGTGATGGCAGATGAGCTGGTGTCTTCCATCAGCTCTTCTTTCATACCACACTGTCTTTCATCTGACAGCAACAGCTGGAGCTTTCTGTGTAACAAAAGAAGGAGGAAAAAGGGGCACTGGCAGCTCTACATAAGAAAGTGGCCCATGCTTTAAGTCTGTGTTTCTCATGGATCCCCAGGAGCCTATTTATTTGCCTACTGCTTCTTTGGTCCCTTGTGCTGTAATGATGTAAATTTAAGCATAATCCTGATTTTAAACATAAAAGCAGCAGCTGGTGCTTCTGAGAACTTCACTATGCATGCCTTGCTAGCCCACAGACCTCTCCATGCTTTCCTCTCCAGGGCCCTTTGGAGTCTTTCTAGTAGGATGTAAACTGCCACAAGACAATGGAGAGGAGGAGGTTTTTCCCACCTACTTTTATTGTATGCAATTATCTCAAAATACATTTAAATACACTACTTTAGGTAAGAGTGGCAGAACTAGTTACAATAGAATAGCAATTTTTAAAAGTAATCTGTTATTTCTAACATCAACACAGCAAAAATCTATTTTTATATTAAAAAAAAAAAGGTAGAAATTTCCCTGAGGAATCGAGACTGAGAGTGGTACAGGAATTTGCAAGCAGACTGTTCCTGCAGTAACATTATATACATATAAAGAAAAGTGACAATAAAGTAAAAAGTTAGATAATTCAATAAAATGCTGTGTTAATCAGTATAATACTCCAAATAAAAGAGGCTTCAGCTTAGTTGAGATGTACAATGTATGTTTTGTTGTATAAACTTATGTCCTAGCTATGTTAGTCCAATAGCACTGAAAATGTGATTTTTTGTTGTTGTTCAGCTGTAGTCCTGAAGCTTTTGATCTTTCCAAAGCTGCCTGGAGCCGTTGTACATGTTCTTTCCCTTCCCTTCCCTTCCCTTCCCTTCCCTTCCCTTCCCTTCCCTTCCCTTCCCTTCCCTTCCCTTCCCTTCCCTTCCCTTCCCTTCCCTTCCCTTCCCTTCCCTTCCCTTCCCTTCCCTTCCCTTCCCTTCCCTTCCCATTTTTTGTTTGTTTTGTTTTGTTTTTCTTCCAATAAAATAACCCAAATGGTAACAGTCCATACATCCCAAGTAGTAAAAAATTTTCCACTGAAACACCCCAGTTTATAAGACCACACAGAGAGCAACTGAGAAAAATGTGTTTTCCAAGTGAGGAGGTAAATGGAGACAAATCCTTGTTTGTGTACTTGCTTTCAAAGGCAGAAATGTCAAGTTTTCTTAACTCTAACATAACAGCAAGCTGACAAGGAAAGGGGACAGTCGTTCTCATGCCCAAGCAAAGGTAGCAACAGCCCATGCTGGGAAAAGGGGAATAATTCCTTCTCACAGTTAGATGGATTAAGTGTAATGTGAAACTGCAATGAAAGGGCATCTACAAGACCTCCTGCTGACACAGCTGCTGTAGGAAGGTATCTGGCATGATGTCCAGATTTGTTTTTGTAGGTGTTCAGTTGTTCTAGGCTCATAGTTGGAGGACTGTGACTGCAGGAACCATAAACTCCCATCCAACCCCAAATTTGTGCAAGATTTGCTGCACCACCTGGGTGCATATAAGTCTATTGGGCCCAATGGGATTCATCCCAGGGTACTCAGAGACCTGGCAGATGTCATTGCAAGACCTCTCTCAATTATTTTTCAACAGTCTGGGGAATCTGGAGAGGTTCCAGTTGACTTGAAGCTGGCAAACACCATTTCAATTTTTAAGAAGGGTAAGAAAGAAGACCCTGGTAATTACAGGCCTGTCAGTCTCACTTCAGTGCCTGGTAAAATGATGGAGAAAATTATTCTGGGAGTTACTGAAAAACACTTGAAGGACAATACTGTCGCTGGCCATAGCCAGCACAGGTTCACAGGGGGAAGGTCCTGCTTATCAAATTTGATTTCCTTTTATGACAAGGTCACCCATCTAGTTGACCAAGGGAAGCCAGTTGATGTAATGTTTTTGGATTTCAGTAAAGCTTTCAATACTGTTTCTCACAGTATCCTTCTGGACACAGACTCCTTCTCCCCTTCTCTGTTCTGCCCTTGTGAGGCTCCACCTGGAGTACTGCGTCCAGGTCTGGAGCCCCAGCACAAGAAGGATGTTGATCTGCTACAGTGGTCCAGAGGAGGGCCACACACACAAAGGATGATCAAGGGGCTGGAGAACCTCTCCTGTGTAGAAAGGCTTCGAGAGCTGGAGCTGTTCAGCCTACAGAAGAGAAGGCTCCGGGGTGACCTCGTTGCAACCTTTTAGTACTTGAAGGGGACTTTTGAAAAAGATGGAGAGCAGCTCTTTGCTCAGTCAGATATTGACAGGACAAGGGGGGTTGGTTTTAAACTAAAAGAGGGTAGATTGAGATTAGAGGTTAGGAGGACACTGGCACAGGTTACCCAGAGAGGCTGTGGATGCCCCATCCCTGGAGGTGTTCAAGACTAGGTTAGATGAGGCCCTGAGCAACCCGATATAGTGGGTGGTGTCCTGGCCTATGTCAGGGGGGTTGGAATTAAATGATCTTTAAGGTCGCTTCCAACCCGAGCCATTCTATGATTCTATGGACAAAATGTCCAGCATACAGCTAGATAAATGCATAATACAATGGGTGAATGATTGACTGCTATGTCAGTCGCAGAGGGTTATAGTAAATGGGGTTACATTGGGCTGGTGTCCAGTCACTAGTGGGGTTCCCCAGATCTCCATTTTAGGGCCAGTTCTCTTCAGTGTTTTCATAAATGACTTGAATGTAGGACTAGATGGCATTTTAAGTAAGTTTGCAGATCATACTAAATTGGGAGACACTATTGACTCTGTCAAGGACAGAGAGACCTTGCAGAGAGATCTAGATGAATTAGAGAACCAGGCAATGATCAACAATATGAAGTTTAACAAGAGCAAGTGC